AATATCAATAGCTGTTGTTTCACTGAATATCTGTAGTTTGTAATTAGATTGCAGGGGATTGAAATCTGCAGCTTTCTAATTCTCTGTTTGCTAGGCTTGGTCTTCGTTTTCCTCTGCCGTTTGAGGAAAACGCCCGCTCTCCTGTCAGTGAAATGTCAAGGATTTTTGGTGCCCGCGCTCGCGGGTGTGTGCATATATATATATATAGTGAGGATTTTTGGCGCGCGCGCGCGCGCGGGTGTGTGTGTATACATATATACAGATTGGCACTTCATTCAATGAAATCAACATCAGTAGAAGACATCGTTTTCTTCTAACCAGTGCCGTTGTTTGGCTTCTCCTAACCAGCATCGATCGTTGTTTGGCCTACCAAATGCAAAAAGAACCTACTTTGATATCTCGACATTGTGTTTGTATTTGTTTATACGATAATCTCTTGCTGGGGACACATATTAACTGTCTTTTAAACTTGTCTTCGTAGAATTTAGTCTTTCCCCCCTCTTCTCTCTATGTAATATCTTGGTCTCACCCTCTCCATAATCACTTGCAAAGCTTCAAGCTTCAATTTATAACCAACCCATCTCAATAAATCACTTTAAATATACACCCCTACCAAGTTTTCAAGTACCCATCTCATAAAAACACAGTAGTTTCATCATCTTCTTCTTCAATTGAGTGATTGAAGTCGGTTTATGGGTACCTCAAATCCAATTAGGTTAGGTTTGGATATAAAAAAATCTATGCTTTTCTGTTTCAGGTCGGGTATGAATGGCAATTTTAGAATGAAGTTTGGGTATGAATTTGTTTCTTTCTTTATGATAATTTTGGTCCCACATCTCTCATTTTATTTTTCAACAATAAATTAAAACTTTATTTCATAAAATTGGTCATTAATTTAATGTCAAAATATTTTACAACGCATATGGCAAGTGGGAGAACCAAACCAAAATAGATATAAGCACATAAAATCATGGTAACATAATTTGAAAGGACTAAATTAAAAAGAAACAAATACAATGATCAAAGTATAGAACAATGAACAATTTGGGGACCCAAAGGAGAAAAATTGCTATGAACATTGAAGCTAACAAGAAAATATGAGAGTGTGTTTATAGTGAAGCACCCATATGTTTTAGTTTATAGTTAAAGTTAATCATGGGATTTGGAATCTGCTAATTCAAATAACTGAGATTGTTTTTTTAAATGAATTTAATATAACATCCCCGCAAAATTACCATCAAATCCAGCATTAAATTTTTTCTACATGTCTAAATGGGTAGGAGATCCATTCAAATCACAGCATTGAAAGGAAACTTGTTTTTTGCGGAGAGGATATGAATGGAAAAAACTTGAAATGCACCTCCCCGTTTGAGTCGATCACCCAATTAATTCACGAAGAGAGAGGATTTTTCTTCCGTGGATGTCGTTGTTCTTTCATTTATATTTATTTTAAGGAAATAGCGTGACTTTCTCATAGCCAAAAAAGATAAACAGTTTACATAATTCCGATGAATTAACATCACAATATAGGAAATATTGCTTATAAGGTGTTTAGTTATTGCATTGAAATAAAATATATATAGATAGTGAGAGTAAAGATATGTTTGGTTAAAGTGACAGTAATAAAAATATAAAAATAAATATTTTAAGATAATTTTAAAGTAAATTTATGTATCTTCAAAGAAAAAGTAAAAAAAAAAAACATTTTTCTAAAAGCAATATTTATTATTTATTTATTTCTAAAATATTCATGTAAAAAAATTTTAATTTTCAAATTATACAACTAAAATATCTAATAATATAATTAATTATTATTATGATTTTAAAATTCAACCTAAAATTTAACAGAGCAAATTCCAAGTTAATCCTAAATTTTTTTAAATAATTGAAACAATGTTATTTTAATCAAAAAATTATTATTTTTAAAAAATTAAATACATCCTTAACTCGAGTTTTACCTTAATTAAGTCACTGATTTTCAATAGTTTTTAACTAATTTAAATCAAAACAAATTTTTTTTTTTTAAATCTAGATCATTTGAAACCCTTAGTCCTAGGTTGATCATCAAATCTTAAGTTCACACATGAGGCTAGTTTAAATTTTATAATTAGAATTAATATACTCTTATTAATTTTAACATTTAAAATAAAAGTAAATATCTAATTATATTTTTAAATACACAAGTTTGATAGTTATATATACAAGGATATAGATTTTGTTGTATATTTTATTCTATTTTATTCACCATCCACTAAACAAAATACAAAATTAATCACACAATTTTACATACCACCACTAAATATATTTTTATTTTTATCTTATCTATCCTCGTTATTTTAACTATCATAAAACAATAACTAAAAACTATTTAAATATGTACTCGTCCAAATCCAAATGTCTTGGCATATAAAGTATAAACTCCCGTCAACGCGTTACTAATTTTCCTTCTGTTTTTTTTGTTTTTGTTTTTTTTTGTTTTAATGCCTAGCGTAGTGACAGTCACTGCATAGTCATAAACCATGTAATCCCGTCAACTTGTCGTGACCTAATTGATTATTACACAGCATCTACATCAGCTTCAAACGAATTTTGACCTTACCTATTCACCTCTTTCAAGCGCTCTCTCCTCTCCACTATATATAATTTCACCCCTCTTGCTCTCTCTTCATTCTGACCCATAGAAGAAACCCAAAGTGCAACGAAAACCCAAAAAAAATGTCTAAGCTTACAACCCTCTTCACCGTAGCCCTTCTCCTCAGCTTCGCGCTTACTTGTTCTGCTCGCCTCCAGCCAGTCCTATCCGATGACTCTCTGGTGAAAACCTAACCTGCTCTCTCTCTCTATATATATATATGAATGTGTGTGTGTGTGTGTATATATATATATATATCTCAATCATCATGTCTCCGTTTTTGTTTGTATTCATATACTCTAATAATACGTTGATTTTGGTGACTTGGTTCTAATACGTTGATTTTGGTGACTTGGTTCTTTCTTTGTTGTGATTCTGGGCTCTTGATTTCTGTGTGATATTTAGGATGCCATGGCAGCTGAGGCTGCGGTTGTTGAGAGTTGTGAAGGACTAGGGGAAGAGGAGTGCTTGATGAGAAGTACCCTCACTGCTCATGTGGATTATATATATACACAGAAGCACAAGCCATGAGCTAGTTATCGTGCAATTGTAAAATCAATAATGATCCAAGTTAATCGCATCTGTTGGTAATAATATATTAAGAAGTCTATCCTGTTTCTTGCTATTTGTATTATAGCCTCAAGATTTTACGTTCTTGTATTTTCTTTGCGTTGTGATCAGAAATAATTCATTACCAGAATAAGAAAACAAATCAAGTTACATTTTAGCACCACCGTGTGTAATCCATTATTTATGTGTAGTTTCTTGTTAGTCTGTTCTGTAGTTGGAAATGGGCTAGTGGTTTCCCAGAATACAAGTTTTCATGGTTGGTAACATGTTTGGGAAATCCCTCCAAACAAGAAAATAAATCAAATAACTTTTTTGCACCCCGTGTAATGATTTTGATATGCGGATGATAAAAATAAATATTAAAAAATATTATTTCATGAATTCCTAAAGAAAAAGCCTGCAGCACACTTGCAAACAGTCAAACATACAGTCGAAGCAAACTTGTCCAAGACGTGTAAACAACCGTGGCGCCTTCAATTTCCAATGCCGATAATTCCAGTGCCTCGAAAAAGGCATGAGTTTGTCCTCCTTTTGGACATGACAAATGAAGCTCCATGGAAATTACTTGGAGAAGTGCAATGACCTCTTTCGTCCAAAAGCATGTGTTATCACATCATATCAGCCTAAGGAATTTCTTTATTGACGACTTGGAAGCATAGGTACTCTTTTAGCACAGGTTCTTGGCATTCTCCGGCCAATGAAAGCAGCAAGTTGCGACAAAACATTTCGTAGACTTGCTCCAGAATTCACACCATAAGCTAGCAATGCCAATTTCCTTGTAGCATAATTTACAGGTGTTTCCAATCAGCTTAGAATATCACTTTCAAGCGTAAATTAAAATAAAATCAACAGCTATGTCTGAACTTCTACTTGTCTAGTGGATGTTTGACGGCGTCAACCAGCACA